GTCTGTCTCCAATGCTCTCTTCTGCCTCTCGGTATTTTTCCACAGTCAAGCTCTTTCTTTCTCTACCTTCATGGCCCCGTTTAAAGTTTGCCTTCAGCTCCTGCTCTTTCTCGCCACACTCTTTGGTGAGTCGGGACATTGTCCTCTAGAGCTCTTTGATCTCTTTGCCTCTCTTCTCGAACTCAGCCTTCTAGAACTCCACTGTTCGAAGGGCAGAGTTTCTCTCTACCAGGTATTGATTCGCTGGATTTGATATGTTTTTGCCTTTACGTCCAGAGCTGTGAAGTCCTGTTTCAGCTTCACATTTTCTTCTTTCAGCTCATGAAGCCTCCCAGCAGAGTCCAGATTGGTCTTCTGTTAGGCCATATGCAGGGCGAGCAGAGACTGCGTAGGAAAGGAAACAAAGGTTAAACTCCATTTTCCTAAAAATCATAAAGGGTATGAAAACCAACCAATATTGGGAAGTCCTCAACAAGAACGAGCTGTCTTACTTGGCTTTGCAGTTGGAGCACTGTAGCCATCAGGTCCACAGGTCGGGAGGCCATAAACTCCTCAAAAGCCGCTACAAGTTGGCACTCCAATAGGGTATACACCATCAGCTGCAGGTATTCCGGGAGTTGTCCCATAAAGCCCAACATAGGTGTGTCTGCCTGGCATCTCACTGACTGACTATTTGCCTGCCTTCCTTTGGGCAACCGCGACCTCCCCCTGTCCTCTATGCGAGCACTCGGGATCATTAAAATGCCAGCATGGGCCTCGGAGTCGCCCCCGAGCAAAAGGCCTGGTAAGGTTGCGACCTCCCGGGCTACACCCCTAAGCCCTCTGGCTCAGACTCTGATTCTTCAACCTGCAGCTGCTTCCTTTTCTTAGTTTTTTTGCCCATGGTTTTCTACTTGGGGGCGCGAGCAGCCGCAGGCCGAGAAGCTTTCCCTTGTCGTTTTGGGGTGTTTGCGCACAGCCCCTAGTCCTCGTCAGCGGTCTCGAAACTCTGGGTGGCACGGTCGCTACATGAAAGCATGATTAGAGGAAAAGACCACTACAGGCAAAAGAAAGAAATTCTAAAGTACGAGGAAACTTACGGACTAAGGGTTCTAGAGGCACTTTGGGATTGAAGAAACCGTATTTCCTCATATTGGTGGTAGTCACAAGCAGTCTCGCGTCGCGACTTTGCTTGGGCAGATTACCGAATGCTACAATTTGGTTGAAATCAATCAGAGTCGTCAACCTGGTCGTCTTATTTCCTACAATGGGACGGAAAAATTCATTAGAAATAAAGACTGAAGAAAAAGGAAAATTTCGCAAAGAAATAAGGGAAAACCTACTCGGTTCCCTAAACTGGCAGACGCCATTGTATTGAAAAAAGAAAAATTTGGTTTCATAGGCCCTGATGATACTAGGGTAACCAAATATTCCTCCCTCGATCGTAGATCGCTTCGAGAGGTAAAAAGAGTCTTTATCCTTGCTCTTCTTCAGGTAATAAGAGCATGCGAGCTCCAGCACTGTCAACTGACCGAGGCCATTCTCGCCACATGCGATATACATAGCAACAACTATCATATACGCATTGGGCGTCAATTGCAGTGGCGCAACCTCGAAGTGATCGAGGATCAACCTAATGAAAGGGTGAAAAGGTATCAATGCCCCACATTTGAAGATTGCCTCCAAGATCGCAACCATTCCCTTTGGGGGATTCCAAGCTGTATATGTTTTGTGCTAGTAGATGTCCACGCTAAGTGCGTATTGGTCCACTGCCTTCTGTATCTCATCTCGAGTGGCCACTGACAAAATCTCTTGCACGAGACCCGCTGGGGCGTCCGACGCCTACAAGCTCGTCCCCTCAGTTGCTTTGGTCGCTGAGGCATCCATTACTCCTAAGGTTTGAAAAAAGGGTGACACACAGAGATAACTCAGTTTTCGTACAGTATTCTATACGATGACGTGGAAGAACAAAAGAAACCCTAATGTATCTTCCTTATACACTAAAAACCCTTGGGAATCAACCCCCAAGGATTCGTGCCCTAAATTTTTACTTTTTATGAAAGAAAAAGCCTTCTCCTCACAACTGCCCTTAAATACGCACCACGAAAGTTTACCAGACAAGTTCATATCCACCATTATCGTCAAGTCAAGCTATTAGCAAAATAGTAAAAGAAAGCGAAGGAGAAATCCTTCTCACCTCTTGGCTAGGGGGAATGGACTTCCTGTCATAACGAAGGGTGCGCATCAACTGGAAAAAGGGGATGCTGATTTCATGAGAGCTTTTTTCTTTTTTTGAAAGTATGAGTTTTGTGACAAAGCTTGAGGAAAGCCTGGGGTTTTATAGGGGGAAGAAGTGATGAATGATTTCCCTTGGCAAGCGACGCTTGGGCGGGATATGTTTCTCGCCATTGATTGCGACCACGTGTCATCAATCTGCGAGAAAAAGTAACCGCCACGCTTCGAGAGAGTGCCAATCGACGCTTCCCTCCATTTGAGCAACCAAGCGACGGCTTGATTATCTCCTCCACATTAAATGCACACTCATCCGCATTTAATGTTTTGAAAGAAAATATTGTTTCAGCATGGCTTGCATTTTATGCGCATAGCTAACCCTTATTACGCACTAGACACGTCTGTCAGAATAAAGATTATTTTATTGGACAGAGTAGCTATCAAAAGCAACAGATAAAATCTGAAAAGGTCGTTTGGGCAAAACACTCTTCGCCGCATATCAGTTTCGAGACGATGTGATTCCTTGTTCTCGATAAAAATGTGCTAAGTATTCTCAAGTCGTGAATCGCAGATGAAATTCAAAGCATATCAATATGGCACTGAGTGGGTCCTGATCCAGGTCGTTGAACTTGTGGGAGAAGGCCACATCAGGTCGATTATGCTATCCTTAGAGACGTATGCTGCGACCTCCTTGCAGCTCAATCAGCTTGACCAAACGTCATTCAGGGCAAGTCAAGTTGCGGCATAATCATGGAGTTCTCAAGGTTCAATACTTAAACCTTAAAAACTGGGGGACTTCTGTTATGCCTAAAAAGTAGCTGACATGGACTCTCGTCAACAAGAGCCGATTAGGATTCAGGAATGTTTTGTGCCGTCCAGACGCTTCCACGTCATGTAGTTGTTAGTGTATATTAGTGTATGCCCTAGAAACCATTCGTGTTGTCGGTTTCAGAGCATTTTGTCTTGTATCTATATATATCATAAATAATGGAAGAAAGAGTTCTTCAATTCATGTATATAAATTGCTTCCTTTATTCAGTCATGCATTTAAAATAAAGTATGTATATGAATTGTCCAGATGATTCATTTAATCGGTAAATGAATTATCGAAAAGGGTTCCCTACGGAAGCAATATAATTTGGGCAACTATANGAGAGGAAGTGTGAGAGTTGGTCTTGAGTCAAACCGAACCCGTAGCGACAACGCTTTTAATATTGTGTTTTAGTTAGCAATTTATTTAATGCTTTTAATTTCCTGCAAGTAATTAGTTTCCTTAGTTTTAATCAATCATTTTGCCAATTTCTCTTTCGTTAACTCAAATATGCATTAGGTCTTTAGTTTTGCTCTCTGTGTATTCTACCCTGCTTATCGCTAACTATTTTATTTAGGTTTAATTTTGTGACTGTGACGACCGGTCCAACATTCGCAGGTCACGAACCGCAGATGAAATTTGAAGCATATCGGTACGACATTGGGTGGGTCTTGATCTAGGTCGTTGAACTTGTGGGAGAAGGCCACCTCAGGTCGCTTATGCTATCCTTAGAGACGTATGCTACGACCTCCTTGCAGCTGGATCAGCTCGACCAAACGTCATTCGAGGCAAGTCAAGTCGCAACATAATCATAAAGTTCTCAAGGTTCAATCCTTAAACCTTAAAAACTGGGGGACTTCTTCTGTTATGCCTAAAAAGTTAGGGTTAACGTGGACTCTCGTCAGCAAAAGCCAATTAGGATTCAGGAAGGTTTTGTGTCGTCCAGACGCTTCCACGTCATGCAGTGACGGAAGAGGTATGGTTCTTGTTAGTGCAGCAGGTGAACACCAGGCTTACGAGTGGCCAGGGATCATCCACCTACCCAAGCCCTACGCAATTTGAAGATATTTCTCGTGCAGACAACCTATGGGATGCAAGGAATAACTTGCACGGCACCTACCCACTTGCAAACTTGTAATCTTTACCTTGAATTCTCCCACTATAAATAGATGACACCCCTCTCATTTACGGGATTGGCTTATCTTAGTCTAAAAACAACATACTCTCTCTCTCTCTCTCTCTGTATATATATATTATATATATTATATAATATAGATTATATATATATATATATATATATATTCCCTCTAGATTGTAACTCAGCTCGCCATACGCAACCTGATTGTACCTATCTATTAATACAATAGCAGTGGACGTAGGATTCGCTTTTGAGTATCCAAACCACTTTAAAAATCGCTTCCCATTTATTATCTCATTTCATATTTTCATATCACGTATAATTTCTAAATTCGCTTAACACTTTGTACGTGTGAGCCGTTGGTATCAAAATCAAGAATCAACAGAGAGTGAGGGAATTGGGCTAAAGATGAGGGAGAAAGTAGAAGTAGATCAAGGAGAAAATAGAAGTAGATGAACTTGTCGGTGAGTTGAGGACCACTAGCGATTTGACCGAGAAAGCAGAAAGATGAACAAACGGAAAATGGTAGGAAAACTGATGATAACATAAACCGATGGGTACAGTTGGGGTGATTGGGTTGTGATGACAGAGAAAGCAGAAGTAGATTAAAATTCTAATTTATTTTAAAAGTTTCAAAGAGATAAAATAATTGTGATTAAAGAATTGCCACCTGCAACACATAGGACGATCTTACCACGTCACCATGATGAGACAGTAAACCTGTCCCATGTAAGTTTATCACATTAAGTAGATCAAATTTCTGAATATATAGATAAAGATTATTCTTAGAACAAATTTTGCTTGATTAGCAATTATTAATTCAATACATACAGCCTTACAAGGACATAATACGAGACAATAGGTAGTATAAATTAATACAAATGGAAACAATAAATTAATGAAAACATTTTGATAATGACATGGCGTATGTAAGAGAACAGTAGCTTAATTAGCCCTCAAGGAAGCCAATTAATGGGGAAGACATTTTTGTGTCACTCTCTAACGTGTTGAGGAGTACCAGTACTTTCACATGCAGCTTTGAGTATCATCTGAAATGCATTCTCTACGCAACACTTAAACTTTGGGGTATCGATGAAGCCTTTTTCTGCTCCCACAGCAACCCTTAGCTTTCCCGTATAACTTACTATTGTTATGCAAAGACTCTGCAATTAATCCCATCAAAACCATGTTATATATAACTAATGACCTTCTCGTATTTATTTTAACATTTTATAAGTACGTTCTGGCTACTAGACAAATAATTTGCTATATATTATGGGCTAGGCGCATGAAATTACTACATACGGAGATGATAATTAAAGTGGCTGAGTTGCAGACTGATCTAGTAATATGGAGATATGCATGAGATATTTATATACCTGAGGTACACCAACCACTGTGAAATACAAGCCTCTCACTGGATGATTAGCCAGAGCCATTTGTTCCACGGGCCCCATTAGATTTGAGATTCCCATGCTCGTGTTCTTTAAAGTTCCATGGATAAATCCAGCTGCTGCCTGCACGTACAAAACGAACATTTACATTCACTTTAGTTTGGAAGAATTAGTATTACCTTAATTGTTTAGTACCTTTGGTTTTGGTTTTGTTAAGAAAGGATCATTTGAATCTCAATTCATTTAAAGGTTAAATATTTTGTATAAGGTCTAGAAATATATATTGATACACGTACTTCAGGGCCTTTAAATTTCTTCAAGATCTCAAGAAGCTGAGCAGTGAGGTAAACAGCTAAAGAGTTTTTCTTGGCACTAATGATTTGTTGTGCTTTCAAAACAAATTCCAAAGGGTTTGAAGATGTAGCATCATCCGTTAAGTGAGGTATGGAAACATGCAAGAAGGCAAAACGATTCCCCCAAGGTGCCTTGGCATTAGGTTTGACCATATCTTTTACTGATTCGTAGCTTCGAAACACCCTGGTGTTTAGCAATATTACTGCTGTAGATTGTGCTTTGCTCGAGTCCTGACTCATCTCTTGCATGTATAACCGAGTTCCCAGGAAGATTATTCCCGTAATAACATCATTTATAGTCTGTCATCAAAGTAAGAAAATTCATTGTAAAACTAGAGACAAATTAAGAAGAAAAAGAACTAAGAAAATTTCTATAATGTCAATGGATGACTGGTGAAAATAAAATGGTAAATTAATATGCTTGACATGTCAATCGTATATAACAATGTCAGTTAAGTGCTATAGATTACCGAATTTCTATATTTTTAATTAATTTGTGAGTATTGTATTTTAAAACTGCATTTCTTTAATTTGTATAAATTTACTTATATAAAAAATATTTAGTGTGAAGTGCTTATATAAAAATAATTATGTGGATACAAGACCAAGGCTTCTATCTAACTGGGTACTTTTCTTAACTTTTTTCATATTAGTTGGACAGAATTAGTTAAAAAAGAATTGCTAAAGTACAAAAAGTGGTAATGAAAATACTTATTAAAACATTAGAAGAAAAATAGTTGTTATGTTGACCCAACATAGACCCGTCAACGTAAAATTAGTCAATGAATATATGATACTGATGCTTCGACATTGATCTGAATAGGTAGCTGTGATTTGTGACAGTAATTATTACATCAAATCCGACAGATATGTTTTAATAATATACGACTCTGGCAATTCTTAATTAATAATGTCTAAACTAAATTCATGTGATGATTAAATGATTTTAGTCATTGGTTAATGTCATATTCCTGTTCGAAGTTTAGTTAAGCAGAAAAGCATGCAAAAGCTATATATAAACCATACCGCTCTGAGTTTGGTCTTAATTTGCCTGATTTTATCAAGAGAGAAAATCATTGTTGCTGTCGTCGTCGGCCGAAACTCAATTCCACCATCTCCTGATCGTATCGGAGTTTTATCATCTTCAACCAGAGTACTCTTTATAATGCTCCAACTAAAGTCCGATACTGTCATAGAAATCACAGACAAAACCTTTGACACACTCTTCAATATGTTGTTATTATTGCTACCGTTTCTGTTGGAGTGTAAATGAACTGAAGGAAATGTCAAGGGGAGGGAAGGATTATCAGCCCTTTGTAAACATGAAAGAAGAGCTCCCATTAAAGAGAACCCATCGCCAAGTGAATGGTGGAGCTTGAATATCATAACAGCGGCCGCAGTGGTTGTTGGGTATTTGATTACATGAATTTCCCACAAAGGTCGGGTTCTTCGAAACTGTTCCATTCCTATTTTTGAGATATAATCATCAAAGTATTTATCATAAAATTCTGGTGAAAGTCCAGAGGGGAAAATGGGCATTTTTACGTGGTTATGGAGCTCAACTTCGACTCTCTTCCATTGTTTCTCTCCGTTTTCGTCTACAACCTGTTAATAAATTTTAAAAATTCAGTGCTTTGATCGAAAGAAAAGCAGATAGTTATTTTCAAGAGCAATTAGTAAATAAGTTGAAAAAATTTAAAAAACGCTATAAATGGAGATGAGTAAACGCACGTAACTGATTCGAACACCTTAATTACCCTAACAAAAAAAATGAGTGCATGTATGTACCATGATGGAGGAGAAACGTGGGTTGATGGGGAGAAACAAATCCTTGATCAACGACATAACCGGCAGATTATCAATTGGCACTTCAAATTCAAGAACACCAAGAATTGAAAGGGAAAGAGCTGAGCTATTCAAGTATTGTCCCGTGGGGCTTACAGGTTCTTTCGTGATGGACTCCATTGTAGTTTGGCTTCAACCTTGTGGTTTGATACCAGTTACAGCACATATATAATCCCAAGTGGGTCACGTATATCTATGGATTAGAAGTTGGCTATCGGTAATCTATCACATTCAATGAGAATTTGATATCTCGTTTCATGAAACTTCGAGGGCTGCTATATATAATTTATATATGCACGGAGTCTCAATATTGAGTACTTGGAAATGGAATTCCAATTGCATACTTCAATTTAATTCTAAATATATAATTGCATAAATTCAATTATACAAACCGGTAACTACGTAAATTTAATTTAAAAGAGACAATACATTGACGTGTAAGTCAATTAAGCATGGTATTTTTTTGACTCGGTCTCTTAAATTCACAACACGCCTATGTAATGAAGGGATTTATTTCAGAAACAGATATAAATCGGAGTCACAGTCACTGGTGACGACATGGAATATTGGAGAGGATAAACGCTGAGGTTGGAAAAAGGAGAGAATGTGCATGTGATATTTGTTAAGTTAGGTCTGGCTGATGATCTACTCATGTTCCCGCATGCATCAACCAATATCTTATATGATTCGCTACTTTTAGTAACCCATAAATTATCAAGTCAAAACACACTAATCAATTTATTATATTAGCTAGTCATATGAAATAAATATTGGCACCTCTATAGTGAAACGCAAGAAAGAAAGTCTATGACGCCGTGGAGTATATCTTAATCTTAATTATCACAAATTAATACATATATGAGAGAGACAATAATTATGAAATGGCATAAATTCATTAGTTTGTGAATAAATTCCTTCAAGAAACGTTAACGCAACAGTAATGGTGCTAATTGCCAATAAAAAATATATATATTCTGTCGAGTAGGTAGATGCAAGGTTGTGTAATTTTAAATTTATTTCTCAGGAGTAAATTATTAAAAATATTTTTATTTTAAGAAAGGGTAAAGTAGTAGACTATCTAAAAATAATATGATAGTCTTTGATAATTTAGAATTTTCTTATTTAAAAATAAAATAAACACGAAAAAATCTTATGAATAGTTTGTCATATAAGTTTAAGTTTTGAGTTTTTCTATATATAAGCTAAATATATATAACAATTTTTCAGTCATTTATAAACTTTTTTTTTTTTTTTCAATCAAACGATATTAAAAGAAATTGAAAATATATAATTTATAGGACATTATTATTAAAGCTCTGCCAATCATTAAATTAGCAGTAAAAAAATTATGAAGTGACATATATTCATTAGTTTGTGATATTTTATAGAGTGATGCTATGGGTACTAATGGATGAGTACTAATGTGTGTACTAACTAAAGTATAGTACCCGTACTATGTGCATAGTACGGGTACTATGCTTTAATTAGTACACATATTAGTACTCATCCATTAGTACCCAAAGTATTATTTTATTTTATAATATGTAATTTATGGTACTTAATAAATTAATAAAATAAGGTTTGCATTATTGCATATCTATATATATACTTTATCTCTTTAACCTATTTTGAAGGTTGGAAACAGTATAATTAATCATTATTGTAAATTAATGAACTTATAAGTTTTATTAATTTAATACAAGAATAATGTGGTACGACTCATAGTTCTAGTCATATTAGCAGAAATTGAGCCAACCGAAATGTCAGAAACTAAAGTAAGATTATATATAATATTATATGAAACTGGAAGAGCAACAATCATAGACCAACAATTTATCGGGGCCCAAAGTATTATGAGTTTTCTAGATGGGGAAGATCATCGATCCGTGAACAAAATGAATCACAAGTAAAGATTTCTAGTTGCATCTATATGATTATTCAATTAATTTCATCTCATCTTAAGTAGTTGAGAAATAGTTGAACTTGTTGGCATTCGTTGTAAAAATACTTCTTGTAATTTTTAAAGACTTTGATAAATAATTAAATACTAGAATGACCCTTCTGGTCACCATAAGCTTCTTTTTTTTTTTTTTTTCTCAATTATTCCAAACTTATTTTAATTAAAACTTTAAGTGATTAAAATATTGTAAAAATAAAAAAAAATTAATGCAGTTATAATGACATGTTTAATGTTTAATTTAGTCTTTCTATGTATTCATGAGATTAAGGAGAGATAATTAAAGATGGAGAATGGTAATTCAATAACTTGTATCGCATTTATCTTCACTTACGCCTTTATATTTCAAATGTTGGACAAAATGAACAACTGTCGGCTGAATTCCCGATACCATCGTATTTTTTAATTTTTTTTTTTAACGTGAGCAACTTACGGCTTCTTCCTTCAAGAAACGTTAACGCAACAGTAATGGCGCTAATTGCCAATAATATATATATTTTGTTGAGTAAGTAGGTGCATGGTTGTGTAATTTTATATGGCATAATTATTAAAGCTCTTCCAATCATTAAATTAGCAGTAAATAAACGTTGCTGCAGAACGCATCGAGAATTGTTGTAAATGAACACAACGAAATTGACATATTTTAGAGATATGTACAGTCGGCTAGAACATTTGTTGTGATCACTGGCACTGTCCGTTTGATTTATAATTTGATAGATTGATTTAATTAAGAATGCCGCTCATCTGCCTAATATCTTTTGTACTAAATTCAATGAAAAGGCTTCTTCAAATTAAGAAAATAAATAGAAAAAATTAAGCGTTTTAAAGATCTTTCTAGTATGAAAGGGTGAGTCGTCTAAAAAATAGTCGATGCCTGTAAGTAGTAGTTTTCCTAAACAAGAATCTTTTCTTTTGTGTTTGTTTTTATTCGGCTGCCCACAATAATGTTATTATGCAATGTGTTGCAAGATGTTTCGATGGAAGGTTCATTAAAGATTGAATAATGGACTTTTATCTTCTTATAGAGTGAGGATATTGGCCTCTCATATTTTATCTCTTTAGACTACAATTATTAAAAAAAAATTATTTACAATTTTTTTTCTCATTAAAATTATTAAATAAGACATAATTGAGTTAAATGTAATATACTCTCTAGGTAGTAATTCTTAGAAAAGAAAGAGAAACAGAGAAGAAAAGAAAGAGATACACCATAAGAGACAAATAACAGAAAAGAAAAGAAAGTTCTTTTCTCAGGAAAGTTTATTATTCTGCATATGTATTATGCTACTTACATGATTCAGTATTTCTTATGTGATTGACGATGTACAATTTTATTCATTGTCTTTGCACGTTAATAAGTAGCAAATAAGAGTATCAGAAAAGAATGAAGAATATCATAAAAGAATGAAGAATATTATCAAAGATTAAAGTGAGAAAAGGAAAATCAGAACATGAGTAATGGAGGAAAAACAGTAGTGCAGTTTGGTTTACTTACTGAGCAATTAGTGCTCACTCTGTTATTCTACTGTTTTGCAGGTACTTGATGATTTACGATCAGATGGGACGTCAAGAAGTGGAGGAGTTTAGCGGCACTGTCCAAGACTACCTTGTACTATCAGTTATTTTGTGTATATGTTTATATGAATTAAAATTAAAATTTTCAAATTTTACATTATATACCTCTACGTATATATATGTTTACAAAGTTATTTAGTAGATTTTATCATATATTTCTTAAAGAATTACTAGCTAGAGAGTATATTACATTTTTGGTATCAGAGCATCGATTTTGGGAAATTGACAGTGTGCCTCTCCTGCCACGGTGACGTACCCTAGCCGATCATTGTAAGTTATTTCTTTGTCTCACTTGTATTATCTGACTGATAATATTGGTGCTATGTGTTTTAGATGAGACGGATGACTCGATCTGGTATGAAGAATGCATCGAGTACGGGTGAGCCATCCAACCCGTCCGAATCTACTCCCCCTATCCTCGATGAAGCGAGGATTCATAACATTATTCAGCAGGTATTAGCAGAGAGTCAAGGGAGACCTATATTGGAGAGAGTTGAGACCCCAATTGTAGTACCGACCATTAGAGAGGAGAGAGAAAGGTCGGTACCTCTGATAGTACAGAGTCATCTTGACCCTATCTATAGGTTACCTAGTCAGCATCAGCCATCAGAATTTAGAGGTATGACTGACCTAGTAGTGGCAGAAGAATGGATTAGATCTATGGAGCATACGACAACACTTTTTCCTATGACAGATTGGGAGAAGATCCGGTATGCTAGTTTTTTGTTTAAGAGTGATGCCCATATCTGGTGGGAGTTGATGGAGGAGACTCATGATATAGCCGCTATGACCTAGAGAGATTTCAGACGACTTTTTGAGGCAGAATACAGGACAGCTGACAGAATACATGGAAAGATACAAGAATTTATTAGCCTACGAGAGGGAATCAGTTCAATGAAAGAATACTCCATTAGATTTAATTCCTTGGCGAGGTTTGCACCAGTTATAGTGAGGACACCATAATTGAGGATGAACAAGTTTATGCATGGGTTGAATCCCGAAATAACTTGAGATGTGATGGCAGGTACCCAACCCCCTCAAACTTGTAGTGAGGCTTTGGAGCGAGCTTTACGAGCTGAAGTATTTGTGAATAAGTTAACTCCATTGACTCCATCAGCAGCAATGCCCAGTATTCCACCTCCCGCTCTGTAGAGAGACAGATTTGATACCCCCAAAAATAGAGAGGGAAAGAATAAGAAAAGATTTCAGTCAAAGAAGAACAAGAGGGACGGGAAGAATAAAAGGTCGAGGACTTTTAAGTTTCTCCAATGTCAAAGATGTGGGAAACATTATCCGAGAGAGTGTCTTAAGGGTGTGTGTTTTAGATGCCGACAGCCCGGACATATGATGAAAGACTGTAAGGCTCCCCCTGCACCCATAGCACAGACATCCAGAGGTACTAATGCTCGGGTATTTACAGTTGCACAGAGAGAAGCCGAGGCCAACCCATCTGCAGTTATTGGTCAGTTATTATTTCATTCAGTTCCCCTTTATGCATTAGTTGATTCTAGAGCCACACACTCAGTTATTACACATGGGATTATAGAGAGGTTGGGTTTGAATCCTATTATAGTAGATCAACCCATTAAGACAGAATTGCCTAATGGTGATAGTGTGGTAACTCGGGA